CAATGTGGCTATGTTTATTTTCACTTAGGATCCCTGTTTTAAATGTGATTCTACCCTACAAAAGCATGTTTTTGTCTGCTATCACGTACTCTTTAGCTGAATATAATAAAATAAACAAAGAAAATGTGACTACAGCATCCAACTGTTCATTTGCCCACAATGCAACTGCAGTACCATCCTGTTATAGGATGAAAGGCTTATATATTTATATACTATTATATTCAACATAGGTGTTATAGATTTCACTATTCATATGGCGTGGCTGATATCTAACTTTCGCCAAACCGTCAACATTCTCGGCTGTTTGAATAGTGACTTCGTAATCTTGTGGAAATATCGTCGATGATTTCGGATATTCTTTGACATAAGGTGATGCTTGTTTCAGTTGAAATGCGCCTGAAAATAAAGTACTCTCGAGTACGGAAACGTTGCAGGTGAACTTTAGAAGAAAGAAACTATATCGTTTCAATTATTTCCTCCTATTGTGATCTTCATCTGGTTAGTGTAGGAATTAGTCGGGAAGAAAAGCAGTTCACAGTGTTCACTTCATGTGCGTCTAGTTTATTCGGAACTTAGTTCACCGAACGTGATATGTCGAAGATCTTCTTCAGTTAACTGTGGAAATGAATAATACTGTGCATTATATTCTCTCCATTTTGAATGATGAATAAGGTTTCGATTGTACAACCTTTCTTTTACTTTATTTGTATCGTGTAGGCGATCTAAAATTTTATCAATATATCGAGAACCTTTATTTTTATCGCAAATGGCAGATGAGCGATAGTTACTAATGATTTTGCAGACAATATTTAAGTAATCGGATAAGTACGGAATAATCCTGTTTTGGATAGTTTTGTTGAAAAAAGCCCACTGTTTGATCTTACTTAAATATCGACGGAAATATGACATGATGAATAGATTAACACAATCTTTCGATTCAATATCTGTATATCTACTGTTTCTCTGTGCAATGAATAATGAAGTCGGTTTTTCGTAAAAGGGGTAGACTGCTTGAGTATAAAGAAACGCAGCGAGCACACTCAGTATATAGATATTGAAGCGATGATTTTTAAACTCTATCATTCACCGACTCAACCACCCAACGAATCTTCGTGATGCGATGACTGAGATAAACCGCTTAATTTCAGTTTACAATCGAAGAAGCAAATACATTGCATCACGAAGATTCGTTGGGTGGTTGAGTCAGTGAATGGTAGAGTTTAATACTCAAGCAGTCTACCCTTTTACGAAAAATTGACTTCATTATTCATTGCACAGAGAAACAGCAGATATACAGATATTGATGAAGATGTCATGATGAAGGAATGGTAGCAATTCTTGTCTTACTCTTTTTCTCCTGTTCAGTGTACGTAGGATAACTTGGTTTGATATACCAATATTTGTGACAAACATTCTCTCACAGACGTGTGTCACTCACCAAAACGCGTGTGTCACAGACAACTCCACCAGACCTCTCCGACAGTATTACTGCTG